TACCACATCCTGATGGTCCCAGTAATGCAATTAATTTTCCTGGTTTGACTGTACCAGATACACCTTTAACTAAAAATTCTTCTTTGTCTGTTTTAATATTAACATTATTAAATGTTAATTGTATTGGTTGAGATTTAGTCTGTGAAAGTATTCTTTTATTGGTACTTTCATTTATCATTTTACGAACTTCACTTAGTTTCATTGAGCTATCCTCTACATTAACAGATCCAACATTATTGGTATCTTTTGATATGTTTCTTGACTTATCCAAAGAAACTATTTCTTCATCTTTAAGATTACTCATTTTAGGGGTAAATTTTTGAAAAATTTTTAAATAAAATTTCTCAAATAAAAATTGTACTTTTTTATATAAAAAATAAATTATTGTCATTAACAAAATATGAAATCAATTTTATTGATAATCAATTCTAAATTGAAATATTTTTGACACAAATCATTTTTTATTAAATTTCAAATACATCAATTTACTAAAAAAATTATTTGTTTGTTTATTATAAAGTATTACCGAAACCAGCATTCGATGTACAAACAAGTTTATTTAATCTATCTCTACTGCTTATCTTATCGTCTCCTCATCATCTATCTTTTGATTATTTAATCTCATGAGTTTGTTTATATTGAAAAATATAAATTATAAAAACAAATATATCAATTTTGTTTGACATCTCGGAATTAATATTTCACAGATTACGACAAGTATAATTAAGTTTTATATATAATAGCTATAAAGAACTTATGTTATGTTTTTATATCAATATTTATAAAGAAATAATGAATTTAATAGAAAACTGTTGAAAATCTAATGAGATTAAATTAAAACATATAAATAATTTACTTTTTACTTAATAAAGTTTGTATTCTTTTTTTAATAACTAAAAAAAGCTTTAAAACAATTAATAAAGTTATTTTAAGAAAAAATAAATAAATGAATTTTTGATTATAAATTTTCACTAAAAAAAGTTACAGATGTAATTAATATAATCAAGAAGATTAAAGATAAATATCTTATTTGTTGAAATTTTATAAATAATGAAACCAGCAGAGAATGTAGAAACTAATTTATTTATATTAGAGCTCTTGTAGATACAGTGGTGGAAAATAAAAATGAGAGTAACTTAAAGTTTTGTTTAAAAAAGTATTTTAATGTAATTTCATATTAAAAAATCTTTTATTTATAATATAGCATTTAATTTAAAAAGATTTTATACAAAATTATTATTTAAAAAAATACATGTTGTGAAAAAATTTTAAAAGTGGAAAAATTAAATGAGACAGTTTATTTTAATACATTGTATTTCTCCCTTTAGATTTAAAAACTTCTTCAAATCTTTTTGGAAGTGAACAAATAAGTCTTTCACTGAGTTCTTTTAGCTTTTTATACCATTCTTCTTCAACAATTTTTTCTAAATCTTTCATATTCTTTGGTCTTCTTTCATTAACCTTAATTTTTAGAAAATACTACAAATTTTCTATTGGATTCATATCCTGCCTTTATACAGGTCATTCTAGAGGTTTTATCTCTTTTTTCAAAGAAATCATTGGTTAAAGAAGCTTTATGCTTTGGGTCATTATCTTGTTAAAGATAAAATCATCATTCATGTTCAATTTATTAACAGATAAAAGTAAATTTTTGTTTAAAATTTGAGTATATGAAATGACTGTCATATTACCTTTAACAACTTCTATTTTCCCAACACAGTTGTATAAGAAGCAACCCCATAACATTAAATTCCCTTCTTAATATTTAAAAGTAGGATTTAGAAATTTTTCATTATACCTTTTGGTCTTCTAATTTAAACCATTCTATTTAAATAAATAAGTTAATTTTGGTTTCATCTGACTACAAAATTCTCTTCCAATAATCTATATTATCCCATAGATGTTCCTTTGTAATCATTAATCTTAAATAAATGTTTTTTATGCTCAAAAGAGGTTTTTTAAATGGTCTATAAGCAACTAAATTATTATTATTTATAACATTTATGTATGTTCTTGGTGTAGATGTTTTATCTAATACTACATTAAGCTCTTTTGCCAATTTTCTTGAACCTATTTTTTATTTTTTTTACTTTACTTTTAATAATATCAATTTCTGATTCATAAAAGATCTTTGGATGACCAGAACCTTTCTTTCTATTAATATTTCATTAATTTATACTTTTAAAATATTCTAAAAAAGGTTGTTTTACTTATTTTAAATTTATTCATAATTTCCAAATTCTTTACTCCTGCTTCTTTCAATGTAACTATTTTTATTTTGTCCTCCTTAGTAATATGTTTTGCCATTAAAGAGATAATAAAAAATTATTTTAAGAGAGAAAATGAAAAATTTTCAAAGAAGTCTCATTTATTTTTTCCAGTTAAAAATTTTTTTACAACATATATTGTTTAAAAGCATTATCGTGTATAAATTTTTTTAAATAGATATTATAACATAAATAAAAGACAGTTAAAAATGAAATTTAATAAGAATAACTTTTAAAAGAAAACTTAAAGTTAGTCTCATTTTTATTTTCCACCACTCTATCCACCACATCATTTTGAAATAAGAGTTCAATCTGTTTGTTTTCAATATTTGATAATATGTTCTTTCTCTCATTACTCATACCTTTCAAGGGTTTAAAAAAGCAACAAATAAATATTTTCAGATAAAAGAATTATCTATATTGAAAAAAATTATAAATGTCAAATTTTCCACAAAGTTAAACCATCAACTTATGTAGTGTTACTGCAATAACATTTTAAATTTTTTAATTACATAAAAACTTTTTTAAAAATCACTCTTACCTGAATTAAATATTCTATATTTAGGAATATTAAGTTTAATCAAAAACCTGTCAAAAAAATTCAAAAAATTTTTTAAAATATTAATTAAATCCTTTTGTTAATAAAATTTAAACAAAATTTTGGTATTGAATATTTTTTCCCGGATGAAAAAAATGGTTTTAAAAATAATCGAACATATAATTTAATAATTTTATGAAATATTTCAGCTATAAATTATTGGTATAACAGGGTGTTAGAAACGCCATTATATGAACCAAGTGGAAAGTTTAATTAAATTTATTTGCAGAAAGGACGTCTTGAAAAGTATGTGAAACGTGTATTTTGTCGATAAGATATAGAAAACAATGCCACATTTCAAAAATAAGGATAAGATAGCATTTAGATGCTGTAACAATAAGCGTGTTAACTATAGTAAATAAATTTTTATTCACACCGAGCCATTATTATCAAGTTTCAATGTACATCTATGTAATAAACTATTAATGTGTCATAAACGGTTTAACAACCAAACTCAAGTACAGATAGAGTTAGTGGTGAATATTAGAAGAATATGATTATGAAAATAACTGTTTTTTTTGAAAGTGGTGTTTAAAACATGCTACAGAAAACTACTTTGTCTGAAGATGATAGTATGATTATTTAAAAAAATAAAAGTCTATTTAGATACAGATAAAAACGCCATTATGGCAGATAGTCATAAAAATTGATATAGTTATTTGGTTTGGTAGATGAGTCATTTACATGTTTAAAATCTCGTTGCATTTCATACCTAATATATCCAACGCTACACTTTTATCAATATTTAAAATGGTTTGTTTGTAAAATATTATAGTACATTCTGTTAAATAACGTACTTATGCATGTATTGATAACAATAATCTACTATTTTACATTTCTATAATAATCACTTTGAAACCTGTGTAAACCATACTACTAATTTTCATAAAAAGCATTAAAAATGTATGAAATAAATACAGGTATATGTTAAAATACATAAACACGCTTTAGTTTTTAAGCTAAATTTGTTACTAGAAGAGTTAGTCTGGAAAAAATTTATCAAGTTTAATAAGAATTTTGAAGATTTATTGAGATTATTATAAATTTAATTTTATTTTGTTTATTTTTCTGGGAAAAAAGGTTTGATGCTAAATGTCTTCTATAAAACCATAATCTCTCATTTTATTAATAATGAAGTTTGTTTAAAAATCTTTTATAAATCTTAATTAAGTGATTTGACAGTCGGGAGTCAAATATCGAATTTAATTATTTAAATGCTAAAATATTTAACTCTAGTAATATTAACTCATCAAATTTAATAAAATAATCAATAAGAAGTGAGATTCTAAAGCAAACAATATAAAAGCTTAAAAGGTAACTATAACTCAATAGAAATCAAATTAGTTTTCATATATGACAATATTAAAGCAATTTAATAATTATTAATTTCTAAAAAGTCTTTTAATAAAAAATTTAAAATTGATTTTAAAGAGTATTTCTTTAAAAACTTTATTAAAATTTTTAAATGATAAAAACTCCCTAGATTTTATTTTAAATTAAAATACTATTAAAATTTTTCAAAAACTTTATCATCAACATTCAATAATTAGTATGTTGATCAATAATTTTTGTTATTCAAAACATTAAATATTAATATATTTAGTGTTATAAATTAAAAATATTAAAAAACTTAATAATAACTGATAACTGAAGGTAGGGTTTTATTTAATTTTTAAATAGAATGTTATTATTAATTTGATTAAATATGATAATTCATTGTAATGTTTTAACATTAAAAAAAGTTTGTATATATAGATAAAAAATAAAATTATTGTAAATTTTACTAGTAGATATTTTTTTAGTTAATTTATATAAAATTTTTTGCTATTAGAAACCATCTAAATGATAAAATAAATATACTACCTTGTTAGCAAAATTTTTCTTCTTATAAATATTAAATCAATTATAAAATAATTTTTAAAACAAATTTGATAAAAAAATATGACACGTTCATATAGTATAAAATTTCTAATATTGTTGTAAACCACATTAAATTGATTTATTTGATAAAAAATACTATTATTTAAAATTACCATAAGTTTTTATAAAAAAATAAAATTAATTAAGTTTTTATTAAATTTAAACGTGGATAAACTTACCATATTTTCTTATAAATACTCTTTTTAAATTTAATGAAGTTAAAAAGAATATCAAACCATTTAAACCTAAAAGTACCATTAAACCATAAACAGCTTTTTCAAGAGTAAAAACATCTTTTAAAAATATGTGAAAAGGTGAATTCAATTCACAAAATTTTATAATAGTTGAATTATAAAAGAAAGTATTCATATTTGCTTCATTTCGACGAGAATATTCTTCTTCAAAACACTTCTTATTGTCTATTTTTATATGGTCTACTTTTTCACCAAAAAGTATAAAACAAAGTTGCTCAAAAATAATTGCATAAAAATTATTAATATAAATTATAATAATTAAAAAAACGTTTTTAGCCAATAATGATAAGATAAAATAGGCTATTGAATTTAACATTAAAGATAAATTTAAACACATCAAATAAATGAAGTTAAACAACAATAAGTAATAAACTACTAAATATGGAAACATGATTGTGTTTCTAGTGAAATAAAAAAAGTAGCAATATCACAAATAATTACAATAAAAAACTCTCTAAATGATATTAAATAACTTGCACATAAATATTGAATAATTTTAAAATAACCCTTTCTAAATTCAATTTTATGAATTTCTATTGATCTAGAAAATAAACTAAATTCAAATAAACTTAAAAATAGAAACCATAATATAAGAACCAACCAATAGTTAAAATTGGATTATCATTCCAAAAAAATTTGTAGAGTTTACCTTTATCTTTATCATTAGTAATTTCAAACATATGCTCAATAACTTCAAAACATATATTTCTTTGAAAAAAAAATTCAAAAACACTAAGAGCTTCTATATTTTTTTCAAAATATTTACCATTGGGATAACCATTTCAAAAGTATAATTTTCAACAGTTTTTATAATAAAAATAAATATAATATTTGGAAGTATCATAATAATAAAGTTAAAAAGGAAGTAAAAGCTAAAAATCTTGCTCATTAATATACTTGCAGCTTTCTTTGTAACTGAAAACTTTTTAAATTTAGTATTAATAGGTTCTGTATATTCAATTTCTAATTCTTTTACTTGGGAAAGCCAACTATCAACTAACAAATCATATTTAATTTGTGATTCTTTAGTTAATTTTTGATTTAGATTCATTTTTAATGTAATAATCTTTAAAAAGAAGTCTGGATAAGAAACAAATTTTTGCTCTTTAACAAATCCTATTGAAGCAAAGTA